CTGATATACTTCAACCTACAGAATGCATCCGTAAACTCCCAATTATCTTCTATTGTATAATACAGCATCGTGCTGGGTTACTCATCTATTACTACTATTATTGTTATTATTATTTCTCTATTTTAACCAATGTAATTTTTTTCTCTTTCATATTTTTGAACCTAATTCTATTTTGTTTGTATTTTTTCTCTTCTCTTACAGTCATTATTTACTTCTTTCCAAATTTATTTTCACAGCTTTCTCTTACTTACAGCGTCATCCATCATGTATATACTTTTCTCCTTTCCGTTATGTCTAGCGTCTAACTACTTGCCATATTAATTCACAATCCTTTCCTGCTCACTATGACGAATTTCTCCAATATTTCACCCGTAATTTCTACCACATTATTTCAGTTTCTGAAACATGGCTTAAGCCCTATATCCCTTCCACCTCCGTTTCCTTACCTGATTATACCTTCATCCGTCATGACCGAGTTCACCGGACTGGCGGAGGTGTTGGTCTCTATGTTAGCAATAGCTTGAAACCCCGTATTCTAGATATTTCATCCCCTTCCAATCATCCTCACATTTAATTCCTCTTCGCTGAAATTTCTTTTAAAGCACATCCTCTCCTTTATGTGGTTGTTTATCGCCCTCCTTTGACTCCTTTTGACCCATCCTTCGAATCAACCTTGTACAATTATGTCCCTTTCTATAATAATATAATTTCCGGTGATCTTAATACCAACCTCCTCACAGAATCCAACAACAAACGCTACTTGGAAAACCTCTTCTTCTCCCTCAACCTTTTTATTGTTCCTTTCGCTCCTACACACCGTCTGACACCTGGCTGGACTTGCATATCATCAATTCAGAGCAGAAACTCTTGTCCTGTTCTCAATTACCCGTTCCTTTCCTTTCTTCTCATGATCTCATCCAATTATCGTATGATATCCAAACTCCCACATTTCTTCCTAAAACCATAACTTTCCGCAATTTTGGCACCCTCACCCGTGATAAAATCTTGCCTGACCTTGAAACCCTAAACTGGAACAATATTTATTCCTGCACCTATATTGATCATATGGTAGACATCCTCACTTCTAATCTTATCCATATTCTTGACACACATGCTCCTATCAAAACCTCAACCTTCCGTCGCCAACCTGCTCCTTGGATGTGTCAAGAAATCCATGACATGCAAAAGAGACGTGAGGCAGCCCGCAGACGCTTCAGACGAACTCGACTAGCAGATGTCTATCAAGTCTATAGGATACTCCGTAACTTGACACAAACAATGATCAGGAAAGCGAAATCAAACTTCTTTCACGAAACCTTTTCTTCTGCTCCTGATTCTAAATCAATATGGCTAACCCTTCGTAAACTGTCTCTTTGTAAATCCTCTTCCTCACCGATCTACCCGGTTTCACCTGATGAACTAAATTCCTACTTCATATTTTCCACCACCAGCAACAGCTCACCTCCCTCTTATCAATTTTCCTTATCACCCTCATTTAACAGTGATAATTTCTATTTCTCCAACATTTCACCAACCGACCTTATTTCCTCGATAACGAAATCCCACACAAAATCCATCAGACTTGATGGAATACCAGTCAAACTGTTAGAATTATGCCTTCCCGAAGTCGTTCCAGTTCTCCTTTTCATCTATAATTTTTCCCTCCAGAACTCAGTTTTTCCTGCTGCTTGGAAAAAAGCATTAGTCAAAACTATTAACAAAATCCCCAATCCTACCTCTCCTAAAGACTACCGACCCATCTCCATTCTTTCTAACCTTTCTAAACCTCTGGGAAGAATAGCTCAATCCCAAATCTCTAAATTCCTTGTAAACTTAAAACTACTTGATCCTCTCCAATCTGGTTTTCGACCTGGCTTCTCCACACAATCCGCCCTACTAAAAATTACCAATGACTTACATACCGCAATGGACGACAAAATGTTAACTGTGTTAATACTTTTCGACTTTTCCAAAGCTTTTGACTCCTTAGACCACTCTATACTCTACACTAAATTAAAAGCTCTATCCTCTGGTTGCAGTCTTTTCTATCCGACAGAACTCAAGCAGTCAGCATTCCAAACCAACCCCTATCTTCCTTCCTTACACTGTCCTCAGGAGTGGCCCAAGGTTCGAGCATTTCCCCTCTCCTTTTTAATTCCTACATAAATGATCTTTCCAAATCCATCTACCACTGTTCACATCATTTATACGCTGATGACTCCCAAATCTATTTTTCCTTTTATCCTTCTGAGCTACTAGTCGCGTTCGCCAATATTCAGGCAGACCTAGATAGGATCAGTGCCTGGGCAAGTCTGAATAATTTAAATCTAAACGCGACGAAAACTCAGGCCATTATTATAGGTTTCAATTCTATTCTTAAATCCATTTCCTTCCTTCCTCCTTTAGTCATCAAGGATCATCCTATCACATTCAGCTCCTTCGTTAAAAACCTAGGAATCACCATAGATGAAAACCTCTCCTGGAAACCCCATATCGCCCTCATCTCCCGTAAGTCAATAGGTACCCTTAAGCTATTTCATCGCTCCCGCCACCTACTCCCACAACCCATCCGCAAGCTCCTTGTATCCTCTCTCATTTTCCCCCACTTTGACTACGGCTGTGTGGTGTACGGAGGCATCCCGATGGTACTCGAGGATAGATTGAAGCGACTCATGAATACGTGCTTAAGATTTGTCTTCGGTACATCGAGGCGGTCTCATGTGTCCCACCTTTACGAAGAGTTAAAGTGGCTCTTCCCTTCTTTCCGCAGACAATATTTCCTTGGATCTTTCCTATTCCAAACGATCAACACCCGACACCCTTCCTACATCTACAGTCTCCTACAGTTTAAACCCGTGGTCCACTCCCAGAAAACAAGATCCCGTGTTTCCGACCTTTATATCCCTTCCCATAGAACTAAGACGTTTGAATATTCCTTTATTGCCCGATCCACTGCCTTCTGGAATTCCTTGCCTTCTGAAATCCGCCATGCCTCTTCCTTGTCCTCATTTAAATATCATCTTTACCAATTCCTTCTCACATCCCAAAATGACGTTATACAATAAAATAAATATTGCGAAACAGATTTTGACTGAGGTGAATGGTTGTAAAAATTGATAGAGTTTTTAATTTTAAAAATCAACCCATGTTTATTTTTTTCTCTTTTCATTTAAATAATGTTTTTTTTTTTTGTTTTCTTTTCAAAATGGTGTTATTTTTACTTGATTTAATTTAATTTTACTGAAGATACTATATATTCTTTAATATTGACTAATGTAATTTTTGGCCAGATGTAGTTTTTATTTTTTGTTCATATCTGTTATTCATAAGGGACCTTGTCCCAGAATAAAGTTTACTTTCTATCTATCTATCTATCTATATATTTTATTATTCTCTGACTATCCAGCTTTAATAAAAGGCTATTTAAGAGGAATTGAAGCCAAATACTGATTCTCAGTGACGGAAAAACTAAATTCTTTGAAACCCTTAAAAACTTTGAAGAAAACCAGGATTTTTTAATTTTGAAGGACAAATTAGTCGGTTCTAAAGTATTAGGACTGCTATAACCCAGACTATGAAACTGAGGTCATGGTAGATACTGGTCCTGTTGGATTGGACTAAGCTTTCAGTTACTTACAAAAGACTCATATACATGAGTACAATAAGACCTACCTGGACATACGGAGTTGAGATTTGGGGGTCCACAAAGCCATCAAATTCCTCACGCATCCAATCCTTACAATCTAGAATGCTCAATGCTCCTTACTTTGTCACTAATAAAGTCATCCATAATGACCATAATGTTCCTTACGTTTCCAAATTGGCCCAATCCAGATACCTATCCTTCCATAATAAACTTCAGAAATATCCGAACCCTCTCGTGCCTTTGCTTCCTCCTAGATCCCTGATAACCCTCCGAGGCGTCTAAAAAAAAGATGGCCTTGAGATCTCCTATTGTAATTACATTTTTTTTTTTTTTTAGGGTGCTACCAGTGGGTAGTTTCATGTTTTTATTTTCTGGTATCACATTTACTGAATGTATTTTTTCTTAATACAGTTGTAAATATCATAAATAAATAATAAAAAAAAAATAATAATTTACAGCCTATGTTTCGACCAATATGGAAGACCTGCAGTGCCCTTGATTCTTCTGGCATTGTTGGAGGAAAGCCCTGATGAAGGTCTACAGTGTAGGTCGAAATGTTGACTATAAATAAATTTTACACCAACATAGTATGTTTGTGAAGGGTATTTAACTTAAGTTTTATGACTTAAGGGTTATTTGTGTAATTGTACTTAATTAAAATTCATTAGCCTCAAAAATCTTCCACTAAAAAAAAAATCATACATATAGTAAGTATTATGCAGCCACATGAAATATTAGTTATATCATATCACATTTTAATTCCGTGTGTATGCTTTCTTTGTATCCTCTCATTTCAACAGATCCTCCTTTTTTGTAGTTAGACAATAAATGTTCTTTCATATTTAAGCATTTTAATATTGACATCTTTATCTCATCACAATAATTTTGTAAACATCGTGCGATATATTTATTAATATGTTCTAACTAAAAATTCAGTTATTCGGGGGGAAAACAATGAATATTATTGTCACATTTTTTATTATTTATTATTAAAGCATGTCTGTAAACTATTTTAAAATTATTTTTACTTTCTCATTTTTGTTACTACTTTTATTCATTTTTTTTATATTGTTCACTAGGTGTCATCAGTGGGTTTTGTATTGCCAACGTCTGAACATTGGGCCTGGTAAAAAACGTCTTAGTTTGACCTCTGAATCAACTATCTGTAGTGACCATTTTAGACCAGACCAATTTGTGAAAAACACCAACACTTTACTAAAACGAACTGCAGTGCCTTGTGCTAAAGTTGGTTCTGGAGATCAAATGTCTAAGTTAGATATTCAATTCAAAGAGTTTGAAGGTAATGAGTCACCGCAGAGCTTTGATAATGAAGATAATAAGCAGTTTTTTTATGATGATGCTGAAGACACAAAAAAAGGTATTCTAAAATTAAATATGATTTGTTCAATATTTTTTTTTTTTTTTTTTTAGGGAGGTTTTATTGCAATATAACATTTCCAGGCCTATTGTGTGGCATAACTTTGCCATTTAAAATATTTTGATGTAATTTATTACTATACAGGGTGTTTGTTTCCAAGGTTAAGTGGCCAAACTGCAAAAATTAACTAAGTACCTCAAAACAAGAAAAAAATTTCCTCAGAAGGTATGTCCGCAAGCGCTTTGTTTAGGAGATGAATTAGATCGAGTACTAATATGGCCTTTTATCCCTAACTGTTTAAAAAGTATTTGGAAAAGTATTAGTATTGGGAACTCTCAATAATATTTATCAGTATGTAAGGGGCTTTCGCAGAGTACTCATAACAATAACACATATCCAGTGCCGTTCTACCACAGCTGCTGTTGAAGAAAGATGCCAAGCCTGTCTTAATGCTCAAGGAAATCACTTTGAACAAGATTTAATATGAATTTAATGTTTAATTAATAAAGTAGTTGGAACAAATAAATAAGTTTTAATTACTTAATATAACGTAAATAATTCATAACAATGAAAATCTTTATGTGTGAATATCTCCTAAACAAAAGCGTTTGCGGACATATCATCATAGGATTTTTTTTTTCTTGTTTTGAGGTCCTTAATTCATATTTTCAGTTTGGCCACTTAACCCTGAAACACTCAGTATATGTAATAGGGTAGGAACAAAATGTTCAAGCAAAAGAAAGTATATTGAGAATAGTAACATAAACAATATTTATATCAAAAGGCTGAACACATGATTTAAGCACCTATGTACTTTGTGCGACAGTAAAATATGTTACTATGTCTAGATCTCAATAAGCGACTGTCAGTGGTCCCTGTCTAACACTGCTTCCATCCAGTTGTGGACTACAAGGTTCCTTGCATCTCCAGCTGTGCCTTCGATTCAGCAAAGTATTGGCCTGCTGATCCATCTTACCCATGGATTACTTCCTTGAGCAGTTTCTTTCTTGAGGTCTGTTCCTCATTCATCCTCACCATATGACCTGCCCATCTTAGTCTCACTCTCGCTAGCTTACCAATTGAGACAATAATGGGCTCTCCAAAGAGATTATGAACCTCCTGAAATTGCCAGAAAATCTTTCTTTAAAAAATCTAAAGATTTTAACATATTGCCTTTGTTGTGGTCAAATTGTCTGCTATTGTACCAGATGACCAGCTAATAAGTCCACCAACCCTCTACACCTCATTATACTACACCCACCTTATCTTATCCTGATTTCTACCCCGCTTCCCAGCAAACTGCTGCGGTTGAGAAATCTTCCTAACTCAAGCTATCTCCTTCTGGAACTCCATCCCACCTATCATCTGCCATGCTTCGACTGTCTCTTCATTCAAAGCTCTCCTCTTCAACCACCTTCTCCCCAGCTAGTCCAATTAATTTTATTTGTATCTAAATCACCTTTTCCTATATTTTAAATGTTTCTCATAGCTGATTATAATGGTATTTTCTACATACTTATTGTTATTATCTTTAATATTCTCCCATTCCCTGGTTTGAAGCTGAAATTGAGAGACAAGTCTAACCACTTACAGATATACATTTAAAAAAAAATATTTTGGCAGTATCCAAAAGAACCGCTTGCTGAGCCTCTCTTAGTAAACCAAGAAGCTACTCCAAGCCAATCATACCTGTCATCGTTGTCTTTGGAATCAGACCATTTGTCGATATTATAATTAGCGTCACCACTATGCTTTCCAAATTTTACAATTATTTTAGTTTAATCACCAATTCCAGATGTTTTCTGAGTTTCTCACCCACAGCTGTGCTTATATTATTGTCATTTGGCTCACAACATCAATATGCTTGGCTTTCTTGGTTCCAAAATCTATAATAAAGATATCGGGTGTATTGTGATACAGTGTGTAGTCCACGATAATCAATTCATCCCAATACATCTTGAGGGAACTTTTCTGAAGTAGCCTATTGTGATTTTTTAGTAGTAGCCATATATGTCGTCAATTTTGCATTCAATAGATTAAATCTCATCACCAGAGCCTGGTAGAATATCATCATCACATTATTGTGCCTCTGCAGATACTCCATACCTGTGAGCACTCTACATCCACAGCTGTGATATAAATAAGGAATAAATTAGATTTACAGTTCCATTATAGATTGTTTTAGTGGAATTGGAAATAAGGTAGACAAACATTAGAGCTATTTGAAAGCCAAGAGAAATGACTGAATTTAAAAAAAAAAAAAAAAGAAATATTTCAATAGATAAAAAGCGAAAGCTGCTCTAGAGTCTCTAGAGTGACATCAGTTTAGCAGAGCAAGGCCAGTATCAACGAGAAGGGTGGGGACGGATAAAAATACCCAAGCCACTTGTACTTGATACACTGGGCGTTAGATATTTTTATCTGATACTTGTACTTGATACACTGAGGGTTAAATACTTTTATCTGATACTTGGACTTGATACACTGTGAGTTAGATACGTTTATCTGATAATTGCATCAGGTAATATTATCCGTCCCCCTCCTTTCTCATTGATACTGTCCTTGCTCCGCTAAACTGATGTCACTTTAGAGCAGATTTCACCTATTAAAATATTTCTCATTTTTTTACATTCAGTCATTTCCCTCAATTTTCAAATAGTTATAATGTTTGTTTACTTTATTTCCAATGACATTAAAACAATCAACTGGAAAATATAATTTATTCCAATCACTTTAAATCAACTTATCTATCTATGTATTCACCTCAATACTCTACATATTCAGTACTCTAACTACTCACCAAAATATTCAATATTCAATTTGAATAAAGCTACATAATTGGTTTAGAAGTAAAATAATGTTTTTGGATGTACATATTAGTTCGGAAATGAAGATTTTCTACTAATATTCTTATGAATGAACATTATGAGTTAAATGTAAAAAGAAGGATATGGGTGATTCTCATTTTAGGTGCAAGTTCTACTCCATTATAACTTTTACTTGATTAGTTAAGTCTAACTTGATTTTCCTTCCTGCTATATGGTGGAAAACTATTTTTTCTTAATAAAATATTAAAGAATTACGTGATTTTATAATTACTTATGCTATTAAAATATCATTACCAAGTAGTGTCCAACTCTCAGTTTTCTAGTAAACGTTTATTTTTTTATAATTTCAAATGTTTTTTTGACCATTGACAGTCTATTTTATTTTAAAAATCTATGCACCATATTCATCTCTATAATTATAATACTCCAATTAGGATAAATTAAAAGTTAATCATTCTAACTTTAGCAGCCACTGAGTTAAGACACTATAACTTCTGATTTCTAGATAGTATTATTTATAATACGGATTTAGTTTTAATATTGATAAACTCAGAACTTTCATATTATTTTCGGTAACAATTTTTTAAGTAAGAATGCCCTTTTGGGGAATAAAGTGAACATGGAAGACGAAGAAGAAACTTCTAGTACTTCAAGAAAAGAAGAAGAAATGAGTCAACCTTATATAATATTCCTACTCAAAATAGTTACTCGCTTTCTCTGATGAGGAAGAAGATGAAGAAATCTCTGTCTAAACTAATAAAAATCCTAACTTACAAGAATTTTCCCCGATAGTAGTTTATTCCTCATTTTCAAATCACAAGAAAATAATTACAAAACTTAAAAATTCAGTAAAAGATATAAATATCAAATACTGTGGATATTTATTTTTTATGTATATAATAATGAAGACTTCATAAACATAAAAAATGAACTTAAATTACTTAATTACTTCCATACCTATACTCCTAAACATGAGGTTAAGCCTAAAGTGGTCAGGGTGGCACCGACCTGAAAAACCGGGAAAACCTGGAAAAGTCAGGGAGTAGTCAGGGAAAAATTGTTAAAGTCAGGGAATTTTTTTAATTCGATAACATTCTTTTTAAATTGAAATTAATATCACGATCTTAAGAGACCTGGTAAATTTCGATACTATAATGTATAATTGTTATAGACGACCAGACCATCTCCATATTTATATGGTTATATAACCTGTATCTATACACTTGTCACTGTCAATAACGGCCCTGGCCGTTATATTGGAATTAAACAAGGGTAAGGAATAAAATGTAAGCAAAATAGAGTTAAAACAGTGCTTTTTTAAAAAGAAAAATATAACAATACTGTTTAATATCTGTAAGTATACATCTATTTCTTTGGTTAACTGAAGGAGAACGTTGGCAGCTTCACATAATTCATGCTTAGGTAGAGTCGTAATGTGCGAATGAGCAAAATGTGGTTGGACCGCTCGGACTTTAAAACGCATTTTGTGTGATGATTGTTATGCATATCAACAGAATATATAAAAACTGTATACTATGTTTATACATCCTAGTTCTGTTATAAAATTGGTAAATTAGCCGAAAATAAAGCATTGAAAAGATAAAAAGCTCTTAATTTGTGAACGACAGATACAAGAGAAATACGACTTCGATTCTCTGAGCTTTAAAAGCCGTTTAATCTTCTTACATATTAACGTGTCTGTATGAGGTACATACGAAATTTAATGCTCTTTCAAATTTATTATATTGAATTTCTTCGGTAGATGCATAGATTATGAGTTTTGGAGAAAAACCGACAAAAATAGATTTTTCTTGTGAAAAATGCAGTCAATATTCTCTTACTGCTCACCCGTTAGCCCTACATCAAAAAGCTATGCATAAAAGTTTTTCTTCTTTAACGTTGTACTACTAATAATTTCGATAAAATGCACAGTTTCGGAGTAATGTCCAAAAAAACTAAAAGAAGTTCAGAAATGTTGATATTTTTGCGTATATCTCAATAGGAAATGGAACATTTCGTTCGAGAACGTTAAATTCAGATCAGTATCCCAAAAAAACACAAAAAACCAAAGAGAACCCTACTATTTGAATTTTTTTTGTCAACCAACTACTATCGGACTGCCCTAATGTGATGACTTTGACGTCATCGGTCAAGGTGTATTCTTTTAGAAACATATTCTTTACGTCATATCAAAATGGTACTAGTTCACAAGAGTTCCGCACGGAGTTCACAATTTTGAACTCTGCAGCAACCAGAAATTTAGTTTAGAGATATCCAATTGTCGACTACTAGTATTGTAGAAAACTTCGATTTTACAGATAGTTCAGGAACGGTTGAGTGATTTTTAACTGTATGTTTAATTTTGGCGAACGATATACACCTTTATATTATTTAAATTATATTTTTATTTAAAGCATGTGACAACGGTCGTAGCAATTCATTGGATGGCAAGCACCTGTTCGTCTTGGAGAAGATATCAAGCCGCTAGAATACAAAATGGCGGTCATGTGAAGATAGAAGAGATCTTACATAGGTTGCACGCGTATATATAGAGAGAGCTTATAGATATACAAAGCTACCAAAACTTTCAATTTATATTATTTATTCTTAAGACCTGAAATAAAAGTCAGTTATCCCATACTCGTAATTTCAAGTCGAAAAATTGAATTTACGATTAAAAAAATTTACTTTTATCGGTTTTTCGCTTATATCAGTAACACAATGCGTTATATCTATAATAAAAATGAAAAAAATGAAATGAAAAAAATGTTTTATTATTCTGGGACTGTTGTCCCTTAAGAACAAAATATGAATACAGATTATATGTCTGTGTGGCTACAATTGAATTGTATATTTACAATGAAAGTTGACTTACGATAAAAATACAGAAAAGAGAAAAAAAAGAACAAGTAAATTGTACATATGTATGAGAAACTAAAATAACCTTAATAAATTGAGGTACTCTCTGGTGGTGCTCAGATATTTCTCTGAGATATATTTCACAATCATTCGGATTGAGAAAGGAGTAGGTGCTTAAAGAGGAGTGGTTTAAACGAGGAAACTGATTGAGCGTGTCGAATATCAGGTGGGATGGAATTCCAGAGGGAGGCGGCTTGTATTGCAAAGGATTTGTCAAACGCAGCAGTTCGGTGAGGAGGAGGATAGAG